CCCATATATTGTTATCCTTTAAGTAGTATCTTAACATTTACTTAAAGAATAAAAACACCTTTGTACATAAGAATAATACAAATCAATCGAGCGTTACCAAAAAATGATTTTACACACACGCGCGCGCGCGCTCTTGAAAAAATCATTGAATAATATAATATGAATTAATAGAGGAACTACTAGTGATGCACGCAATATTCGAGACATCAAGATTCTTGTCTTGTCTTGTCTCGAAATCAAGACGATATCAAGACAATATTGATTTAATAAATTTCGATACGAGACAATATTACTTTTCCAAGATCAATATTCTCGGGTTAAGAATATCGAAAATATCGAATATCAAATAAATAAATATATTAGAAATATATCAATTAATAGATAACATCTAATAGAAAAACAAATAATAGAATCTTAATTTTATATTTATACGATCATATAATTGTTAACCAATTAACAAGAAAGAAGGAAGCACAAAGCTAAGCCTATCTCGGTCAAAGCTAGATCTCGATGCTTATTATCATTGTGTGTGAATTTTATATACCGCGTATGTAGTTCCTCTAATCGCGTGCCGAAAATTTTTTCAGACTTTACAACGCAACTCTAAATAACTATTGCGATAATATCACTTTAGTTAAATTGACAATCAATTTAACAAATTTCGATGCTTATAGCATCTTATTAGATCTTAATAATATGTTGAAAGACATATATTAAAATTTAATATTAAAGTAATGATAATTTAAAATCTGTGAAAAATTAAGATTGCGAAGAATATCACAAGTTGGCGTTTCGTCCCAGCTTCCACTACTGGACTCATCAGTAAGGTAATGTAGTGGGAGCCTACCTTAGACGCCAGTGTAAGTTATTAAATCGAGACTCTATATAAAGAGACATACGTGTATCTCAGCACTTGCGAGAAATTTTATCGAATATCAATTGAATAGACTTCTGACGGCGAGTCGACGTAATAATATTCTTCGCAATACTTGTCTAAAGTAGTAATAATAACGTCATTTTTCAGGCGACGTGTATTTTAACAAATAATAAAATCTTAATTTTATATTTATACGACCATATAATTGTTAACCAATTAATAAAAAAGAAGGAAGCACAAAGCTAAGCCTATCTCGGTCAAAGCTAGATCTCGATGCTTATTATCATTGTGTGTGAATTTTATATACCGCGTATGTAGTATTTGTTAAAATACACGTCGCCTGAAAAATGAAGGTAGTGTCTCCGGCCATGTTCAAAAACTGAGACACTACAAGTCTCTTATCCCGAGCCACCAAAGTCCATTTTTTGGAGGTACATAACTACTAAAATATAAAAATTTAACTTTATATATGGCAGGCTTAATTGCTTATAGTTCCAGGATTAAACACAATATATTAAACATAATATATTAAACATAATATATTATTTTCATTGTGTATTTGATACTCGTAATGCACTCATACATACATAATACGACTCTCTTCACTTTTATTATTTTTTAAATGAAAAGTATAGTTTGTTCTCTGAGATAAGTTTCATTAATATCGTGTATCATTTATTGTATTCATAGCTGCTGTAAGTTTGTCGTCAAAGACGTTTGTTATAGCCACACATTACATAATTATATTATTTTTAAAATACTTAGGAATTATTTCGATTATGATCGATTGTACGAATATTGTTTGTCATCATAAAAAAGATAACTAGTAAAATGTACGATTATTTATATTACTCGATACTCATTAACTTTAATTGTGAACTAGCAAAAAGAGGAGCGGCGCAAATGGAGATATTTCACTGCTAGTTTGTATACTTTGACTCATCATCAATGCCATTGTTTTTAGTCCCACTATTAAAAGATGCTGTTAAAAAGTATTTTTTCCTTTTTACATATTTGGAAACAAATCGAATAGATATATTTCTTTTTAATTTGGCATTAGGCAGTCAAAGCGACAACTATGTCGCCAGAAAAAGTACTTTATTATCATATCGCTTCTTTTATCAAAAAAAGAAAGAAGTTGAAAACTGATTAAGATTATATTTACATTAATTCTTTCTTAATGCTTTCAGAAGACAATAATATATCCACAATATATTAATTTTAAGTGATAAATAAACATATATCATTTTATTTAAAAAATTATAGTTAATCTTTTGATTTTAAAGATCAAATGATCTCACATTTAAATTAAAGAGACATTGGATCATATATTTCGAAATAGTAATTTTTGTAGAATTTTTCAAATGTCTATTAATTACACAAAAATATTTACATGTTACTTTTACTATTAAACTAAACATATTGTAAATCAATACTTTTAATAATTTTATATCAATTTGTACACATTTTATCACATCATAATACATTAACTCAATTATGAAATTTTTTCTGAAAGGATTAAATAAAATTTTCATTTGCTTTTCGACTATAACATTAATATTATAAATTTAAAATTTTCAAACATCTTTCTGATATAGTTAGTCAAAATCAGGGCTCGGCACGAAATGCAACTTTTGGCCGATTTTCGAATCGATTCCGCCTACCGTTGTCCTCCTCACCTCACTACCCCGCGCGCATTCCAAATGTCGCTCGACGCTTAGGAGCGTACTAAGTAAGATGCTCATAGACATAAGAAGCATTCGTTCAAAACGCTCGACACGCTGTAATCTTCATTCTATCTTTTTTTTTCGCTTATTACATACGAAACTAATAATAAATTCGGTTGAACGTACTAGTGCATATTAGTGTACATTAAAGCCATTATAAACAAATTTAATCCGTGTAAAAGTAAAATGTAAATATTCGAATTATAAAATACAGATTTTACATAACGGTACAGTAACATCTATTGCAGATCTCATGGTTTAATTCCGTTTTTATATTTATATTAAACATACATTTTTATACTTTCAATTTGTGTACGATTTTAATGTGCATCAGTGCGCACTGAGTAGATCCAATCGAATTCGCTATAAGATAGAACGAACGAATGCTCCTTACGTCTATGAGCGTCTTAGTACGCTCCTAAGCGTCGAGCGGCATTTGGATTGCGCGCAGGATGGTGAAGTGAGGGGGGCAGTCATAGGCGGAGTCGATTCGAAAATTGGCCGAAAGTTGCATTTCGTGCCGAGTCCTAATAGGTACAAAAGAAAAAGAAATACAATAATACTTTTATACATTCGAGTAAAAGGAAGAAATGGTAAATCTTGATAATAACGGAAACTGCTTCGATGATCTTGACCTTGACATATGTTGTTAAGATCATGACCTTGAGTAACCTCCAACAGATTTTAGCTGTCACTCATCCTTCGTTAAAGTTATTAACAATCAAAGTTGCTAATTATTTTCCTACTTTGTTGAATGACTGTAGGCAGATGGGAGATTAAAAATGGATCAACTAGAATAGTAAGACCTTCTATGTGAGGCAATATCTATTTCACCACTTCCCCAGCAACAATTTACTGCTTTAAAAACAATTCACTGTTTTACAAATAACAATTAAATGCTTTCAAAGCAGTTAAAAAAAAGTTTAAAAAATAACGTTATATTTTTACTTAAAACTTCCACGAATAATTTTTTTGTTTATCAAATACTGCATCAAACTATCTAAATCATTCAACTTTCCATACGAAACGACTATTACCCCTCCTCCCCCCTACAAAGGGGCGTACGACTTCTATAATTGTACTGTTGCATGTAGATTTCAGCTCTATAAAGCTGGCAGGACCAAATGAGCAGAATCAAATCGGACCAATTGGAATTTTTAGTACTCATTTTGTACTATTTTGTACCATCAAAAATAATTTTGTACTCTGTGCCGTTTTAAAAGAAAACGTGGCGCTGCCAGCTTAATATTAAGCTGGCAGGACCAATAAAAAAAAATAAAAAAAAAGGAAATAAATGAGATCGAATTTGTACTAATTTGTACCACCAAAAGAAATTTTATATTATGCGTCATTTCCAAGAAAACAGTGGCGCTGCTAGTTTAATATTTAAGCTAGCAGGACCATAAAAAAAAAACAACGCAAGGACAAAAATGAACAAAACTGAAAGTACTAATTGATTTGTACTAATTTGTACCATTGAAAATAAGTTAATATTTTACACAAAACCTATGTGAATCTGCGGCACTCGACTTCAAAAAAAAAAAGTTTTGGTAATTATTCAGATTAGGGGACACCTCACCGATGACCTTGACCTTGACAAATGTTGTCAAGGTCATGATTCTGAGTAACTTTGCCTTAACAACTAGGCGGCGGTCTCTTAAGGATCATCTACAATAGGCACGTAATATACGTAACGTAACGTCCGTAACCGTAACCGTAAGAAATCTCCTCCTCCCGTCTACAATGGCAGTCCGTAGCGGTAACGTAACTAACGTAAGGAACTGTACTTGTAAAATACAATTGCGAAGTATTTTAACCTCTTCTATTTAATAAACTTGTTGGAGTTTATATTTTGCATAAATCATGGAGATCGATCAACAATCCAGAAAGGCAGCCTTGATAATCCTTAATTTAGCTATAATTGCATTACAATTGTTACAAAGAAAAAAGAAAAAAAAAGCAGAAACGACAATACTGGGTTCGTCCTTTGCTCTTGCAAAGGAAAACAAAGGGTCATTTTTATACCCCATTTGAATTCATTAAAAATCGAGATCACGAGCAGTTTTTTAAATACACACGAATGACTGTATCTCAGTTTGAAGAATTGGTGGAATTAGTACGAGAACCTCTAACAAAATGCAGCATTCGTGAATCATTGTCAGCTGAACATCGAGTATGTCTTACTATATAGTATGTATACATTTAATAAATTAATAATAATTTTATTTCTATTTTTGATTTGTTCTTTTATTTTAAATAGTTACTTGGCTCATAGAGGAAGCATGCAGACTGTTGCTTGAAATTTTTATGTGTCTAAGTCGACAGTAAGCAAAATTGTTCAAGAAACATGTCAAGTAATTTGGGAGAAATTATCATCAAAATATTTTCCATATCCCGGTACAGAAGAATTCCTACAGTACGCTCAAAATTTCAAAGAGATCTGGAACTTGCCAAATTGTATTGGAGCAGTTGATGGCAAACACGTTACCGTTCAATCTCCGTATAACAGTGGAAGTAACTTTTTCAACTACAAAAAGACATTTAGCGTCGTGCTATTAGCAGTATGCGATGCTAATTATGTATTCACACTGGTCGATGTCGGAGCTTCTGGCTCTCAAAGCGACGGAGGAATCTTTAAGGCATCGGCATTTGGACAAGCTCTCGAGAATAATGAACTTTGCATACCAGATGATTGCAACTTACCGGATAGTAATATTGGATTTCCATATTATTTCGTAGGCGATGAAGCTTTTCCCTTGAAAAGATACATGATGCGTCCATATCCTGGAACTGGCTTGAGTTTAACACAAAAAATATTCAATTACCGTCTTTCTCGAGCAAGGCGTGTGATCGAAAATGCTTTTGGCATTCTCGTCAATCGTTGGCGAATTTTCAGATCGACAATCATAGCAGATGTCAATACTGTAGAATTTATCATATGTGCCACATTGTGTCTTCACAATTTCCTTCGAATATCGGAACTCTCAATTCACTCACAAAATCGTATGTACTGTCATGTGAACTATGGTGTGGATGAAAGGAATATGCAAGTAAACGAAGCATCTGAAAGTCGAAGACAAAAAGATAAAAAGAACGTTGGTGCTTTCCAGAGAATAGGAAGATTGGGAGCAAATAACTCATCAACTGAAAATCTCAAGTTACGTGACAATCTTGCAAATTACCTTGTTTCTGTAGCAGGCGCAGTCTCATGGTAAGAAATACATGTAAGAAGGGGCTCATTTTAATAGTTTTTGTATTTTAAACGTTTAACGTTTTTTAAAAGTTACACGCGACACGCATATTTTATGTGTAATGAATACACTCAAAAAAAAGAATAAAAATTAAATGTTTGATTACTGATTGCATTATATATAATAGATGTGAAAATTATTTTCCCCTCTGTGTTGTAATTTGTGTGGAACCAGTAAGTACGGTTTTTTATCATAGCATTAAAATATACATATTCAAAAAAGTAGTACAGAAGATGTATTTGTTATCATTTAATCAATTTTATTCTTAGAAAAAGGTAGTTTGACTTTAAAAATGTTTAAAACCAGTTACTGACAATCGCTTTGGCAAAAATATAAGCATTAAAAATGAAAATTAAAAAAATGTTTTCTTTTCATTACTAAAATTCGAAATTTCATCAGTTTCATATACTAGTCATTCATATACTTTAATTCAGCCAAATGAAAAATATCAAATATGTTAACATTTCAATTCTGATACGTAAATTCATCTATTTTCACAAACAACAATCTAAATGATTTCTGGAATGTTTCACCACAAAAGTTTCTGTCGAGAAACTGAATCGTTGATGCATGATAGAATTATAAGTAAACACGTATTTCAAAAGAAGTTAAATTTACCTTCTGATTTGAACATAGGGTTCTAAAAAGCTAAGGTTTTTATACAAGTCACTCGGATCAAGTTTTTTTGAAGCTCCAGAGCCCGATGGAAGTCCGGTTTTTAATATTCGTCTCTCACGTGAAAAGCGATCACGTAATTGAGCCCATCGTCGTTCACAGTCAGCAGCTATACAAGGACACAAATTTGAACAATTATTTCATGCTTTTCATCATATAATATAATAAAAATATAATAATACACACATACCAGTTACGTTTAAAGTTTTCCCAATGCTTTCCCATGAATTTTGAGCCTTTTGTCTGTCTTTGTAGTCTTGACGATTTTTCACATATAAATGAGGACAATTTTCAACCAAATGAATTAAATTTTCATCAGAAAATTCCATTTCGTTCAATATTATTATTACTTGATGCACTTATAATCGATACAATTTAATCTAACCCTCTTTCCGTAATCTCTTTCAACCTAACTTGATCTCTTTCCGTAACCGTAACCAAAAGTTCAAATATTCCAACTTTTACGGTTACGGTTACGGACGTTACGTTACGTATATTACGTGCCTATTGTAGATGATCCTTTATAGTTTTTGAAGTATTTAGACCTAAAAGTCTAATTTCATATAATACAATAATATATCTTTCCGGTAAATATCTAGAAAATAGGAAGCATCTACTTTGTCTGTAAAGTACTGAATGTTGCAAAGTGTATGCGTGGATGCAGTGGGTTCCGCTCCCCTGCGGGGGGGCTCCATGACTGTTAAAAATAACCTAACCCAACCTATTCAGTGGTGTGGTTTCGACTTTTTACGCGAAGCAACAGCTACCACTCACCACTAAATGGATTGGGTTAGGTTATTTTTAACAGTCGTGGAGCCCCCCCGCAGGGGAGCGGAACCCACTGCATCCACGAATACACTTCGCAACATTCAGTACTTTACAAACAAAGTAGATGCTTCCCATTTTCTAGATATTTACCGGGAAGACATATTGTATTATCCACGTAAATAGTACGCAGAATACACGCAGAAATAGTACGTTATTTTTAAATCTTTTTTGGTTAATAACTTTTAAACGAATAACGAGCGACGGGAATGGTCAATCGCTTTGATCCTTCTTGACATATATGTATATAATACTATTGTACTATATGGCTAGATGAGAGAGAAGTCCCTGTCCCAGAATCACGGTACGTGAATATACTTCTCTCTCTTTCTCAGTTTATTTTGAACGTTGTCCGCATGCGTCGGATTCATCGCCTCCATCAATGAAACAGGAGGATAAATATTATATATTATATGAAGGAAAAAGTGATTGATTACGCTTCAGGATATAACCTTGTTACAGTTAACAGAGTCAGTTTTATCGGAATAAATAAATTAATTTTAAATTTTTTGCACTTTTAGAAGAGTGAAATTTTTTACTTCAGAAAATTCAGAGAGCATCAATACGTAAACAAGCCGCAGTAAATATTAATCGTTCATATAACTGATTTTATACCTACGCAAACTGATGTTTTCAGTCGCATTAGGCTTTTTACCACATAAATAACATATTTGGACCATTTTGCCTGTATACAGTACATACATTAATCACATCTAATAAGCATAACGAGCATAACTTGTTCGCGTCATCTCACTGATCGCACTGATCTCACATGTGCTGAAGTATATTCTATTTTTCTATTGGCGGATGCGATCAATCCAACGCATGCACACAACACTCAAAGTAATCTTAGAAAGAGAGGGAAATATATATATAATTCCCGCACCGTGGTTCTGGGATGGCTTTCTCTCACTCCCTCTTATAGGCACTAGCCATATAGTAGTATTACATATATGCTTCTTGAGGGTCAAGATCAAGGTCACTCGGAAGTCATTTGAGGCTGACTGTGTAAAAGGAAACATTTACCAGACACATTATTGTATTATACAAAATTATACTTTTAGGTTTAAATATCTCAGAAACTATAAGAGACCGCCGCCAAGTTGTTAAGGCAAAGTTACTCAGAATTATGACCTTGACAACATATGTCAAGGTCAAGGTCATCGGTGAGGTGTCCCCTAATCTAAATAATTACCAAAATTTTTAATGAGCATTAAATTAAGTCAAGCATTTTTGTAAGTCAAATGTTAGGTTTCACATACGTAGCCTAGAGATTATACAACAAGCCGTGAGGTAAAACCGGATATCAGATATGACGTTTTTGATGGCGGTTTATTTTGATTGTTGAATAAATGCAAGAATTGTATACGATATATATAGTTTTATTTAACCCTTTAACGCCCAAATGTGCAGAATTTGCACACGGAATTCAGCGTGATGGTACTTGCAAAATAAAAATGTAAAAAAATCGAGATGACCATATCCTACTATTTTCGGGGTCGTTCTTTCGAATAGCGTATGCGAAATTTTCGAAAAACGTCATTTTACACTACTTTTTTTAAAAAATATCCAAAAAACACTAATTTTTTAGGTAAATTTTTTTATTCAATCGTAATTTTCACCATGATAACGCTTTCCAGGCATCTTGTAACCTATCAGAAGCGTGTTCCCGATAGTTTTACTTAAAAAATATGTATTTACATATTTTGATTTTTACCGATTTCGATTTTTAATTGATGACAACTGGATGGCGCGCGGCGAGTTATTTGATCAGCCATTTCAATATTTTTCTCAAAAAACAACGCACAAAATCAAAAAACACCAAAAGTAATTAGCGTATAAAATTTGTGCGTTGTTTTTTGAGAAAAATATTGAAATGGCTGATCAAATAACTCGCCGCGCGCCATGCAGTTGTCATCAATTAAAAATCGAAATCGGTAAAAATCAAAATATGTAAATGCATATTTTTTAAGTAAAACTATCGGGAACACGCTTCTGATAGGTTACAAGATGCCTGGAAAGCGTTATCATGGTGAAAATTACGATTGAACAAAAAAATTTACCTAAAAAATCGGTGTTTTTTGGATATTTTTTTAAAAAAAGTAGTGTAAAATGACGTTTTTCGAAAATTTCGCATACGCCATTCGAAAGAGCGACCCCGAAAATAGTAGAATATGGTCATCTCGATTTTTTTACATTTTTATTTTGCAAGTACCATCACGCTGAATTCCGTGTGCAAATTCTGCACATTTGGGCGTTAAAGGGTTAAAGTTTGATGTTTTTCATTTAGGAATGTGAATAAAACAAATTGATTAAAAATAAGAAAAAAGAGCCAATAATTTTTTAAAAAAGATACATAAATGTAATTAACTCAAAATCGCAATACATTAAACAGAGTAAAATTCGCAAGTAAGAATTCGCACATACGTTTCGACACCGATCGGGTCATTTTCAAAGTTAAATTTAAAATTAAGTGTGTATAATAGAATTAACGAATCAACAATAATAAAATTACATGTGTATAATTATAATAAAATTAACGAGTCACAAATATAAAATTAAATGTGTATAATTGAATAATTAACGGGTCACAAATATAAAATTAAATGTGTATAATTGAATATGGATCTTTCTTTGTCATTAGTTTCGCATGAGTTATATAAATCTATTGACAAAAAAGTATATAAATTTAAAATCTTAATTATGAAGAAGTAAATTGTATATATTACCTTAACAGAAATGTAATATAAAATGTATAATACAGTATAAAAATCCAGTATGTTTAGATCCATTATTGAAATTAAATAAATAAATAAATAAAATAGTCTAATTTACAGTCATAAAAATCGACTACTTGAAATAAAAATAAGAAATGAGTAGGCAGAGACCTCAGGAAAGGACAGAGGAAGGGAAACAATTAAGAGGTGGAAAGAGAATGTATCATGTTAGTATAACAATCTGGCAATGACTCGGTATCATTTTGTCTATTTATGCAATGTGTTTGTTTCTTTATATGAACCATTTCGGATATCAATCTTTTCTTATAAGCCGGTTCCATATCTAAAATTTCAACTTTACTCCAATTAAAATCATGATTTTTTTCTATTCTATGATTAGATATTACGGATGGAGATTTAGAAGTTTTATTAATATCCGAAGAATGTTCATGTATTCTTGTTTTCAATTGTCTCTTGGTCTGGCCAACATAACTTGCATCACAGTTGTCACAGGAAATTTTATATACCACATTTTGGTTGTGTGTGTATTCTAATTTATCCTTGCCTCTTTTTATGAAGTTTTTTAGTGTATTAGGTATGGTATACGCCAGTTTGCAAGTAAAAATGTTGGCAATAGGTTTAAATTTATCAGAGACAGAATTGACAAACGGTATAGCAAACATTTTTTCAAATCATTATTATTATTAGAAGAATTAATTTTATTAATGTGGAATTTTAGTCTATTTT